CACATAGATAACAGTAATATATAATCACAACAAAACTATTAATATGCACTAATAATAGTAAAATGTAAAATAATCCAGAAGGGATACATTTTGACTATTGCCTTCATTTTTAATATGACTTTGTTAATTGAAAGTTTCTGGCATGACTTGATTTTTGAAACAGTTGCTCTGGCTGTAAGGCAGAAGCGAGTCCCAGACCCCAAGAGGGGGCAGTTAGGGGGCAGAGATCTGGATGGGACAAGGTGGTGTCCTTGGGGCGAGCTGGCTCCCCGGAGGGGTGGGCACAGGCAGGTCCTGGCCATCTGCTGAAGGCCAAGCCAGCAGGACTGGATAATGGGCTGGGCATGGGGTTCGAGAGGCATCAGGGTGACTTCCATACTGGGAACATAAACAGGCACAGGATGGAGCTGCCATCTACTTCCCAAAGCAGCGGAGGAGGAGCAGGTGGTGGGGGCAGGGTCTGACCCTGGGGTCCCCTGTGGATGCCCGGCAGAGACGCGTTGCAGGCTGACGCCCGAGAAGTCTGGTCTGGAGACACACAGGAGCTGTCGGCAGGCGGCTTGAGTCTGAGTCCCTGGCGCTTGGTGAGATCGCGAGGAGAGGACAGAGCGAAGCACGGAGCCCAGAAAAGAAGATTCACAGGTGGTTGTAAGTCCAGGAGAACGTCAGAAAAACCTGCTACGCCATTTGTAGCCTCGCCCTGGGCAGCAAGGGTGGAAGAGGCAGCGACCAGGGTCTTTCCACGGTGACCTCCTCGTCTCTGGCCCCCGACACAATGCGCAGCCGCCGGGTCAGCGGGCATGCATGCCTACTGCCCGAGAGTCTAGATAATGGATTCTGACTTGCAGCTACAGAAAGATGTCCTGGGTCTTTGTGGCCTAGTGGCCTGAGGTTTGCCTGCTCGCCTCCCCTCCGTGGAGACCCTCCGACCCTGCTCCCTCCCACAGGGTGTTCACAGACCTTCCCGTGGAGCACCCCGGGGGGCCCCGAGGCTGAACACCCAGGGGGAACGGCCGCAAGTCCCGTTTCTGCTGTGAAAATCCAACGGCTGAAGCGCACGCTGCAGGGATGGGCCTGAGCAGCAGGGCCTGTTTATACAAGAGAAGAAGTAAAAAGAAAAAAAAAAAGAAAAAAGACTGCATTTTAAACTGGCTATAAACTGAATATGAGGGGTGGCACTGCTGATATTCAAAAACACTAGTGACACTGACATGGGCGGTTTTACTACTAATGGACAATTCTGTGACACTATGCAGCACGCTAGGGGTTAGGAAATACGCCGTCAGTCCTTAACGATAATTCTTTGAGGCAGATATTATTACCCCATTTTACAGATGCAGAAACTGAGGCACAGAGAGGTTTCATAACTTGCCCAAAGTCACCCAGCCAGTAAGAAGGGAGCCAGAGTTTGAATCCTGTCATAGGGGACCCCAGCAAGGAAGCAAGGAACCTGTGAGCCGGCTGGGCAGACCTCACTTGCCCTGCAGCCCTCAGACCCCAAGGGGAGGCACAACGGACCCTCCATCTGGGCAGGACCACTGGAGGTGCAGGAACTGAAAGTGCTTCCGGGG